GGAGTGCTCCTGGAATCCTGTGAGTGAAGACCAGGGATGCAGCTAAACATCCTACAATGCACAGGACAGCTCCCACAACAAAGGATGACTCAGCCCAAGTTGTTAATAGTGTGGAGTTCGAGAAACTCTGCTCATATAGAACTTGCTAGATACTGTGCCAATACTGTTCTAAGTATTTTTTATATATATTAGTTCATTTAATCCTCACAGCCACATGAGCAGAGAGATACAATTATAATCATATCATCCCCATTTTTCAGATGAGAAAACTGAGGCTTAGAGAAATTAAGTAACTGGCCCAAGCTCACACAGCTAGTTCCTGATAAAGTTAAAATTGGAACCAGGCCTCCTGGCTTCGGAAGCTGTGCTTGTCCAGTGATACAGCATGGCTCCTTGTCCTCCTTGCCACATCAAAGAAGCCACACAATCCTTTAGTCAACCTCTCTGCAACCTTTCACTCCAGCTCCATCACTCCGTCCCACTGCAGGTCAGCGTCTTCTCTCCCTGGACCATGGCAGTGGGCTCCCAGGGGTCTCGCTGTTTCCAACTCCACACACCTCTAATTCCCGCCCCCCCACTTCTGCCAGAGTAACCTCAAAAATCCAAATCCAACCATGTCTCTGCCCCCTGGCTGAAGCTCTTGTCACCTGCAAGGATAAAGCCAAACTCTTGAGTCGGACTCCGAACTCTAGTTGGAATCATCACTCTCTAGACCTTACCAAGGAACCCTGGTGGCATAGTGGTTAAGCACTTGGCTGCTAACTGAAAGGTTGGCAGTTAAAACCCAGACACTCCGAGGGAGAAAGATGTGACAGTCTGCTTCCGTAAAGATTTACAGCCTTGGAAACCCTATGGGGCAATTCTACTCTGTCTTATAGGCTTGCTATGAGTCAGAATCAATTCGACGGCACACAGCAACAGGCCTTCTCCTGACTCCCAAACCCTGAACTTCATTAAACATGCTGTTTGTTCCCATTTTTCTGCCTCTACTAGATCTGCAATAAAGGTCACAGGTGTTTCCAAATAAGCCCCAGTGTCACCTCCTCCATCAAGCCTTCCCCAAATACCCGGTCCTCCAGGTAGAACTGATCACTTACTTCTCTGTGCCTCCACTATACACTTCCACTGGCCTTTATTAACATGAATCACAATCTATGAGAAATTCAACCAATGCAAAAGCAAAATCACATCCATTGCTGTCGACTAGATTCCGACTCATGGTGACCCCACATGTTTCAGAGTAGAATTGCACTCCATTGGGTTTTCAATGGCTGTAATCTTACAGAAGTAGATTGCCAGGCCTTTCTTCCATGGCACCACTGGGTAGATTTGAACCACCAACCTTTTGTTTAGTAGCTGGGTGCAAAAAATTTGCCCCAGAGAGGGACCTTGAAACTAACACAAGAATTTCAAAATCTACTTTGTTCACTCAAGAGCAGCTCCAAGCTGACCGTCAACTTGATAAATGCATCACCATTTTTCTTTGTTTCCAAGTCTGTCCCTCAAGGGCAGGGACTTTGTGTTATTTCACTGATCTCTGAAGTCTAGCCAAGTAACTGAGCAGTCACTGAGCAAGTATCAAATGAAGGAAAGATGAAATATACCATATGGCTTGAATTCTTCCAGCATCAGACGGCCATAGTCTGCAAAGGAGGTCTATTCTGCTGGACTCTGCCATTCTTGGGAAGTTCTTACCCAAAGCAGAAGTCAGTTACTGCATCACCTCTACTCAAGGGTCTGGTTCTATACCATGAGTTGCCTGCACTGCCATTATCATGTCTCCCTTATAAGCTCCTTCCCCTAGCGGAACATTTCCAGCCTCTTCTCTTTTTCCCAACAAGCATGGCTTCAAGATCTCTTGTGGCCCAATAGTGTGTACCTAACTACCAAGCAAACCCAAATTGAGATGGGCCTAACTAGGAGCTGGCAGCATTTGGTGAGTATGTGGAGATTCCTGAGATGATGCTTAAAATCTGCTTCCAGTCAGGGCTCTCAAGTTCAAATGCCAAAAGGGTCCAGGCAAGTTACGTGCATGAATGAAGTTGTTGCTGCTGGGTGACGTTGAGTTGATTTTCGACTCATAGCGACCCCATGTGGAGAACTGAAATGCGCCATAGGGTTTTCTAGGCTGTAACGCTTATGGGAGCAGATTGTCAGGCCAGCTGCTGGGTGGGTTCAAACTGCCAATCTTTCATAAGTAAAGCATTATTCAAGAACAAGAACAAAGTGGGAGGCCTCACACTACCTAATTTTAGAAACTATTATGCCACCACAGTAGTCAAAACAGCTTGGTACTGGTACAACAACAGATACATAGACCAACGGAACAGGATTCAGAATCCAGACATAAATTCATCCACCTATGAGCAACTGATATGTGACAAAGGCCCAAAGTCTGTTAATTGGGGAAAAGACAGTCTCTTTAACAAATGGTGCTGGCATAACTGATATTCATCTGCAAAAAACTGAAACAAGACCCATACCTCACACCAGACACAAAAACTAACTCAAAATGGATCAAAGACCTACATATAAAATCAAAAACAATAAAGATCATGGAAGAGAAAATAGGGACAATGCTAGGAGCCCTAATACATGGCATAAACAGAAAATGAACCATAAATAACAGTGTACAAGAACCAAGAGAGATTAGACAACTGGGAGCTCCTAAAAATCAAACAGTTATGCTCATCAAAAGACTTCACCAAAAGAGTAGAAAGACTACCTACAGACTGGGAAAAAATTTTTGGCTACGATAAATCCAATCAGCATCTAATCTCTAAAATCTACGAGATACTGCAAAACCTTAACAACAAAAAGACAAATAACCCAATTAAAAAATGGGCAAAGGATATGAACAGGCACTTCACCAAAGAAGATATTCAGGTGGCTAAC